GTCATTATTAATAAGTACTTACTATGATAGACTGTGTTTATTTAAAATACAAAATCAAGTTATGGGGAGTTTAAAAAATCCCTGAACTCTTGTAATTGGAGCAAAACCTATTCAGTTTGTATATACTTGGGAAGACAATATTTTAGCTAGGTACACACTCCACATTCTGAAAGGCCTGATACAAGTTTATAAGCACAGACAATGTAATAATTACTCCTTTAGCAACCCAATCCCTAAGACAGGGAGAGAAGGAAAGAGAGAGTGAGGGTGGGGGAGAGAGAGGTTTGTGGTGAAACAGAGATATTAAAAAAGAGGATTAGAAAGGAGGAGGGAAGATATATGTAACATCTAACCAAATTTCAGCATATTGTTCTACCAATAACATGTGAAAACCATGGACCCAGTATACAATATAATGAAATCTACTTGAACATCTGGGGTAAAATATTCCTTGTTATAAATGGTGATTCTGCATACATTAGTAAAGAGCTCCTGGCTGCAAAGCTCCATTGTATGAGGAGAATTCTCCACCTTTCATCCTGCCACATTAATAATACCCAGTGAACCCGTGTCCCATTTTGTGCCATTCAACTAAAAGAAAACCAATCACACAGCCAGAGCAATAAAACTCTCCCCTAGAGCTATCTGCTATCTCTTTCTTTTCTGGTGTATCCAATTTCTAAGCACAAAACAAATAAAACATCTTTAATTTCAACTGTAATCGACAAACAATTTTAGAATTACTATGAGAACATTTTAGGAATTGAATCCTGCTATCATTTGAGATGCAGCATAATGCAGCCAGTGATCAAGAGAGATACAAGTATTGCTTTAAGGAGGGCTCAATGGATTTGTGAAAAGCACTGATAAAACAAAGTACATGTCATTGCTCCTGAAATGTATGCTTTTTTTGACAGTGCAAATAAATACATTAATAAATAAAGAAAATACCTTATGCAAAAAGACACAGGAGATGGCCCCGTTCTTTCACATCCAGCCTCAGTCTTTTGGAGAGACATGTTTAATTGTCTGACAGAGTGACCCTGCAGAGATACCTCCATTTTTCGAATTACTATCATATCCTGAGCATAGGCTTTACTTTTCCATTTCAAGTCCTTGAGAATGTCTGGCGAGATACAAATGCGTCATGATCAGTTTCTGATTGTTAATATGATACAACAATACTGTTTTCTTATGCCTGAGATTTAAAATATTCCACTATTAAAACAGGTAACAACTGCATATACTAGTCAGTGTAAACAGTAACAGTAATCTAGTTCTGTAGTTCTTACCATAAAAGTGAAAGGAGTTGGGCCGGAGAATCATAAAGCACATAAGTCATGTAATTGCGAGGCTTATATCACATGCAAATGGCTGCATATAAATACAGAAAATACATAAATACACATTTCCTATGGCAGGCTTCATAAATATATTCAAACGTTTAATCAAAACCCCCAAATCCAGGAAGGATCATAGTTTGGTGGCAATAAAGCTTATTATATCTTCTACACACCCAGAGCTGCATTAGACTCGTATGTATGTGCACATAAACCATTGCATGTACTGTGGGAACATATGTGCACTTGCACATAGTTGTATTGCAGCAAGTACGTTTAGGAAACATGGAATGCTTTTGATAACTTTAATTTTCACAGAAGAAACTTCGAGGTCAGCACCACAACAATACAGCACAACATCCACAATATATATAGTACGTATACTGTATCTACACCCTCTCATCTCCTTCGAGGCGATCAAAGGCCTTCAAGAGTAATGCTAACAACAACGAAAGTGTCAAACACACACTGTCCACAAGCAACGATCTAAGCAGGAAAACAGTTATTTCTTGTGCCTACAGAAATGTTATTTGTTTTGCCAGTATTTACAAACCCTGCTAATTTCATTTCCTCAATCTTTGGAGGCCATTAAATAAAATATTAAAAAAACGTTTGGTTTTCTTAAATACCCACAAGCTATATGTATATGTGTAATAATACAATGGATGGTCCATACCTTTATACCACGTACTATCCCATAAATGCATCTGTGGCATATGTATCTTGTATATAAAATAGTTTGCTACTCATGTAGACACTGAACTATGCAAATATTCATATACACATATACCCCATAGCTATTTTATAAGTATACAGTCAAATACTTAAATAGAACAACAACAAAAAAGTCTCCATGGAAATCCTTGGTCATATGTATACACTGTCCTGGTTTGGTCAAGGACTTTTGTATCCAGCAATAGTAAGTAGGTTTGTTTTATTTGTTTTTTTCCCCATAGTCATTTGGTCCAAATGATTACCAGCAGCCACTGAAGCAGCACAAGTAAGACTTATAGTAATGGGGTTGTTGACCCATCTGTGTGCTGATGATGACCCTGTACTTTTGACTGCTGGCTTGAGGCTGATGGGTTTGCTGAGCGCATCTTAGTGTTGGGCAGTTTGTGGTCTTTCTTCCACTTCATCCTCCTGTTCTGGAACCAGATCTTGACCTGACGTTCGGATAGGCATAACGTGTGTGCTATCTCTATTCGCCGGCGTCTGGTAAGGTAACGGTTAAAGTGGAACTCCTTTTCCAGCTCTAATACTTGTTGTCTGGTGTAGGCAGTTCGAGACCTTTTGGGTTCCCCTCCAGTGTAATTTGGATTAACTGAGCACACAGAGAGAAAAGCAATGGAACATAATCATTAGATAATGACTTGGCACCATTGTTCAGATAAGATAGAAAATATAAAGAAAAAAAAAAAGTTCTCAGGCTACTGACAATGCACCAAACAACGGAATGCCATAAAATATGGTGATGGGGGACTGGGGGAGAGAAAAGCATCAATGGCGTATGGCCCAGAGTCAATAGCAGGACAATTACATTTATGGGATCTGTAATTACTTTCTAAACAGACTGACTCCAATAAATCCTCAAGTTAAGAGGCACAGCTCCTGAAAGGAGAGCTTTCCCTTTCCTTTGGCCAGAAGGCAACCCAAGTGACCTGGTGCTGCATGCTACTGATCTTGAGCAGAGACTTACCTATGTTGCAATGGATTTTCTTCATCCAGGGGTATACCACGGGCTCTTTGCATTTCACCCCAGCAGCAGCAGCAGCAGCAGCATTCTTCTCAGTATGGATGCTGTCATTGGACACTCCTATAGGCTCACAGAGCTGGGGTGGCTGTCTGAGGACGTGGCTTTGGAGAAGTTGCTGAGACTGGCTATGTCCTTTCCCAGGTAGCCCATCCTGGGTGACCCCGGCGTCATGGCTTGGTGTGAGGTGGCTGTATCCATAGTTGGCTTCAGGAAAGCTGGCCGGACCCTGGTAAAGAGCTTCGGGAGGAGCCTCGAACCCGGGTTCCCTCGGCCGCTCGTAGTATTCAGGAGACTGGTTGTGCAAGTAGTTATTTTGGCCATACTCCTCGCAGGGTGGGAATTTGGGCTCGATGTAGTTGGAGTTTATCAAAAACGAACTCATGGCCATTAATTTGTGGAAGTGCAACAAAAAAATACTAATTTTTCTCGCGTTGTCGTTTTTCTCTTCTCCACTAAACCCTCCTACTGCCTGTCAAGTGTGCAAAGTTAGCAACCCACGTGACAATCCCAGCCAATCCCAGCCCTGCCCTGGATCCCGGATAAGGAAACACAAGGATGATAAATGCTTTGCTAGTCAAGCCTTATATACTTAACTGGAGCTGTAAGATCATCAGACTAAAATCGCTGCCAGAAATACAGAGGACAGCAAAAAAGGGATCAATACTATACATAATGCTATGAACTAGATCCTATAGTAATAGGCAGAACTGACTAAGATCTGTAAAGCTCGTCTCTGACTCATCAGCTGTGTCCCTCACACGTAGGACTATGGTACTCAACTGGAGGAAGCCTCTCTGCAATGTAATACTGTATGTAATCCTATATGTAGTATGTACTTAAATCATCTGTAATCCTGCTACATGCCCAAAAGGCTGGCGTCTAGACTGCTTATCTGTGCTCTGCTCATCACAAGGGAGTGCTTGGCAGTCTAAATGACAGCTAATGTATAGGTCTTACCTATAGGGCACCCTGTAGCCAGCCATTTGGGGAAATGGCAAAGGTAGGACATTGCCTGTATACAATTGTAGTGAAGTTTATTGTAAATTAGTAATATGATTACCACACTGCAATCCTGAGAGCTATACCATATATAAGGATTAACCATTGACCCCTGGGTTTTATATTGCAATCACAGGTTTTCATACTAACCTATATACATTACCAGGTATGGGTAAGGCGACCCCCCTGTGGTAAAGCACAGTTTAGCTAGAGCAGCTGTGATTCCTTCATAAAGGTGTAAAGGCAGAACTTGGACAGATCATGCTTGCAAACACACCTATAGCAGCTTAAACTCTATTGACAAAGCACCAGCTGACTGCAAAGAAGTATTAACTATGTCGCTTGTGTAAATATTAATATTGGCATCACCTTAGATCGGTAAACAGCCACTCAGAGAACTATATGCTGTGCTTGCCATGATGTGAACTGTCTAATCGCAAAAAAAAAAAAAACAAAACTCTAGGAGCAA